AGCAGGTTGGGTGACAGCAACCAGGGTCAACCAGGGCTGAGGCAGGTTTGCAGGTCAAGTCAGCGGGACTAGGCAAGCGGCAAGGGCCTGAGCTCCAAGCGCAGCCCCCAGGCAAATAGGAGAAGCTTCAAAGCAGGCTTTTCCCAGCTCTGCCTCACCACCCAAACACCTGCACGCAGTCAGGGCCGGCCTCCAGCACAGGTAACCCAAACTGCTGGAGAAGGGCTAGGGGGGGACTCAAACAATCCAAGTGCAACAAGATTAATTAGCTGTTGGAAATTACAAATCAGAATCAGGTGGTTTAGTTCAGCTAACAATAAGCCTAAGCCAAAGCATCGTCAAGCTAATGAATACCCTCCCTTTGGACTCCTACAGTTAGTAAGCACTGAGAGAAACAAACACTACTGAGTCTGGAAGTGGCTGCTCCCAGTCGATGTTCCAAGGCGTTCTATACCTGTCTCCATTTCCTTTACTAGAGTTTCTTAATTTAAAAACCTTTAAATCATTTTCATGGATATTACTTCTGAGCACTCCATAGCACAAAATGATTACAAAACACAAAAAAATGATGAATGCTTCTTTTTTAGCAGCTAGCAGGCTGCTGTGTTTATGGAGGAAAGCATTCATAATGTAAAGCACTGTAGAAAAAGAATTTGTTCATATCATGCCCCCTGTCGTATGCTTTTCCAACATTTTTGAGTTATGATGAATTCAATAACCAATTTTAAGTGTTAAACATTTAACAACTGACCCGAATGTAAGTCCATGGCACCCTCTTGTGTTCAACAACAATATAACAGTTTATTTGCTTTTAAATCTTTCTAGATTCAGTGTGTTGTTATTCAGGAAAAACCTGTTGAAAATAAATTAGTCCATTAAGTTATGATTAATACCTTTTGTATTAATCTAATACTCTGATTGAGCTACCTCTATTTCATTGTGAAGATCACAGATACAACATTAAATAGCTAAGAAATTAATTCCACATAGAACTGAACAAAGGATTAAACTAATACCTCATATACATAAGCTCTATTCTTATGTTGCAAGAATCTACTGGACATAAGTCTTACATTAAAACACAAGAAAAGAAATTGAAAATCAAGTGGAAACACAAACATGTCAATGAGCAAGATTAGTAGACAAAGGAAAAATGTGACTATATCATTAGAGAGCCAGGCTGAGATTATCCTAATTAGATTCCCAGCTAACAAACATCCTGTGACTTGGTGAGGTGCCTAAGGTTATCCCATGTCTCAGATTCTCATCTGTGAATGGAGATACTTAACTTCCTGAGTATGGAGAGTGACTTCATTACTATTTAGAACATGCTCAGATACATCAAGCATGCCATGGTAGAGGATACGCACAGTCAGAAGTCAAAACACTGATTCATTGTTTACAGCTGTAGTAGTTTCTTATACTTGTCCTCTTCTATTTGAAGCCACAATATTACTTCTGGATATTAGGAAAAAAGGAAACACGCTGAGGAGAAAATTCCTGAATGAGCCTAATGCAACAAAGGTAAGCACAGGGAGAAGAAAAGGTGAGGAAAATTAGGACAAAAGCTGATGACTTTCTTGAGCTAGTGATACTAACATTTACACACCTATTACTAAGGGAGAAAAAACGATTTTTAGTATGATTGATACCCTAGTCTGCTTTACATTCCACTTCTACATTCAAAAATCTCTTTATCCGTGTTCAATGAGATGCATATATACAACAACTCCAGATAGTTCTTCTCTGATTAACCCTCAAATCCATCTCTGTAATGTAGCTTAACATTCTGTTGTTCACCACTTTCCAAAAGAAACATCTGGATGTGGTCCTCAAATTTCAAATGTAGAGAGATTCAGATGATCTAAAATTGTTCCAATAAAACACAGTAGTATTACAAAACTGTTTTAAGATTCGTTGTTCCCAAAAAAGCCCTCCCTCTCCCAATCAGACAGGAGTCGGTACTAATGGGAACATTAAATCCAACAAGACAACCAGAAACAAAACAGGATTATTCTGTACCAAATCCTCAAATGAAAGTGATTCTTTCAACGGTAGTGTACAGCTTTTGGCTGGGATAGAGTTAATTTTTTTCATAGTAGCTTGTTTGGGGCTAGGTTTTGAATTTGTGCTGAAAACAGTGTTGATAACACACCAATGTTTTAGGTATTGTTTACACAAGGTCAAGAGCTTTTCTGCCTCTCACCCCACCCCACCAGCGAGCTGGCTGGGGGTGCACAAGAAGCTGGGAGGGGACACAGCTGGGACAGCTGAACCAAACCAACTGAAGAGATATCCCACACCATATGATGTCATGCACAGCATCTAAAGCTGGGGGAAGAAGGAAGGGGGGGAACAGTGGGAGTGATGGCATTTGTCTTCCCAAGGAACCGTTAATGCGTGAGAGAGCCCTGCTTTCCTGGAGATGGCTGAACACCTGCCTGCTGATGATATAGTCATTTAGAAATGCAGAAGCCCTAGCCAGAAGAAATAATCAAATAAGGCCTCCTTGTATTCATTTCCACAAACTCCACTGTTGTTTTTTTATGTTCTATTTCACAGTATTAGATGCAGAAAAGAAAATGAAACATGAAGATGCTTATTTCATCCAAGGAGGGAAAGCCAGGTGCAATAGAGGTGTTTCACCATTTATTCTAGCAAGCATGAAAGACTCCAGAGTGACAATAAAACAAGAACTCTGAAGAGAGGGTGCTTGTGTGAAAGAGAGTGTGAGGGAAAGAAGTATTCTTGAACGTGAAATAAATAACACTCAACACCACTTGTGCAAAAATATTTTAATTGTAACAAAAGCCCAGCATCATCAGTCTCACACATCAGAAGTTATGGAGTGACATGTAATGCATTCAGGTATCCCCATGGAAAGGATCGAATCCATACCAGAGGATCAATTAAGTTTCCACAATTGTTATGCCTTATATAAAAATATTTTCCAATTTCATATTTAATGTCAGTGTTATCTGTTCAACATAAATTGTTTCCTTATTGTAAGTTTTTTTGATCCTAAACTAATTTTCAAATAGCAGAACAGAATGTGTTTGATACAGTAACAAGTACCCTTTTTGCCCTTGCAGAGAAGGAAGACTTAATAAGTTATGTCAAAAATACTTTCAAAAATCATTCCCATATTTGAGAAAAGTAGTCACGTAATAACAATATTAAGACGTAGAGATGATTTGATATGACAAATTCCACTGTTCTATATATGGAACTGCCTCTAAGGAGTCTAAATTCTCACATTCTTTACCCTGTCAACTAGGTAATATTTGCTCATTGTAAAATCAACTTAATTGTTCATAATCCCTTTTGGATATTTGTGAACTTAGCACATGGAAGATGAGAGAGGATGTAAAAAGGTGTTAATTTATTTTCTGTGGTTGTGTGTGGCTTATTTTAACAGAGAATTAATTATGCACACCTTTCATTAATCTTCATTCTCTACAACTCATGAATCATCTGTGTCATACTGTATTGCTTCTTTCTCATTTCTGGGTTACTAAGCCAAAATTGCTGTGTAAGGCTTCCAAAACCAAATATCTGCTCAGTTTTACTGTTGAGGGTAATAAAAGCTTTTACATTGCCATTTCATCAGACTAACAAAGCTGAAGATTTCAGAATCCTAATCAGAAAACATTTACCCTTTACAACATTCTTATTGAATTTACAAGCCACTACTCTTCTTATACTAAAGTCAGATACTTCAGGTATTACCACCCTGCTTCTTTAAAAGAGTCAGGGCATTTAACCACTTCCAGCTGAAGAGTTACCAAGAACTTATCATGAGGTATAGATACAGTTTGCACAACCACAATGATAATCTATATAGGTAGCACAATAGAAAAATGGCTCAAATGAGTGAAGGTATTAGTGTGCAAAGAAAATTCTTAACAGAATTTGGGGACTCAGCATATCATCTGCCACTGTAATACAAGCAATGCTTTCCATTCCACAGTCAGCTGAGCCATCCTGTAGTACTTTGCCATAAAGATCTAAACTAAACTTGTATTAAAAATAAAACAGTATTGGAGAGTGCTCACAAACAGATATTGTTTAACTAAGGCATTGAAAGGTTTAGAACTGGACTAATCCTTTTGCTTCCAGTAAACACAGCCTTTCTGAATGCAGACTGTCAACAGACGGACATCTTTCCAGAACCACATCCAATGAATGAAATTTAGTTATGGCTTATGCACAAAGGTTTTTGAGTATGACATGATTCAAGCTGTGCTAGTTAGTGAGAATTTACATTTGCTTCAGAAGGGTTATACAAGCTCATTAACAATGCAAGGTGTTTGATTTTTTGCATTATTAATTCAGCTCTACAACACACAGGAAAAAAAAAAAAATCTTTCATGTAACAGCCAAAGTAATTCATTTGTATATCAGCATCACCAAGGATCATCTTCTACCTACAAGGAGTAAGAACAAGAGTGAAATTGAATGTGTTGACTGTGCTAAAAGGTATTTTAAAGTTTTGAAGACTTAGTTTTATGTAGACAATAGAACACAGTTTCTCTATACTTCAATATCGTAATGATAGATTCAAAAGCAATTTTGTTCTGAAAATATTAAGCAATACTGCTGCTATCCCATTAATACAGCTTTATAAATGCTCAATAGTCTCACTACCTTTAACTATTAGACCAAAACATTGTCAGTCTTGAAATTAATTCAAACAGAGGACAGTGACTGTGCCCACTCTACAGGAGTCCTTCCTCCCAAGAAACTGTATTTAAGCTGAGGTACAAGTGCTGTTAACCACAGATAGTTCTACAGATACTATACTTGACATTGTTAAGTAGGCAGATCCCCTATTCAAACATGTCTTATGATTTCAGACACTGCATCCAGTAGACTACATAGGGAAAAGACATAAATGTGTATAAAAACCAGAGGCAGTTAATATACACTGTTACTAATAAGGAGAAGTTTTACAGGTTCCAAGTATAATGAGAGTTAAGCATGCCAAGCTTAAGGACTTACTAAGGCTTGATGCTGTAGTATTCTTCTGGTGTCACAATTTTCAATCCACCGAAGTAGTCCAGGACCCAAATATTGGTGATGTTGAATTTGGCAAAGAACCAATTATGATCCTTAGGCCAACTTTCCATTTCAGGGTGGCGACTGAATAATGCTTTTTTTGCTAAGCCTGCTTCTGAATCATTCACCTAAACAATAACCAGCAAAATATTGCAGTAAGATAGTCATGTGAAGACAAATTTTAACTAAAAAAACCCCTCTGCTGACTGCAGTGTGCTCTTTTCAGTTTAGCCACGTCTTGTCCCAAAGGACTCATTACAGTGGCAGAGTCCACTCATCTTCAGTGTGGTGTACAACTGTACATGAGACAGACAAAAACTCCAATGCTGTTCCTTTTAATATTAAATCAAAAGGGTGCTTTTAAAGTAAGCATGAGCAAGAAAGTACTTCTTCAACATAAGTCTTTCAACAAATCACAAAACAGAGAAGTATGGATTCTTGTTGAATTGTTACAATGCAATGTTTTAGGTGTAATTTTACCTCCTCTGCACCTGCTCACTCAGACACAAACAGATCCAACTGTGTTCAGATACATGCAAAACCACACATATGCAAATAGTATGATATAACAGAATCTACAAGAGAAGGGAAGCTGAAATGTGTGACAGCACTTAATATACAGTATGCAAATGTTTAAAGGGTTAAATCAACAAGTCAGAGCTCTGGGTATGGTACAAGAGGAACTAATTAAAATAAACAATTCCACTATTGGTGAGAAACCCATGACAGCAATTAAAGGATTGCTGGAGTGTACCGTACAAATATCCGAGGTATGAAAACACCGAATAAGAACTTCAGTTATCATATAAGAGAGACCAATTACGATTAGTCCTCATCCTCAATCATTATCCTCAATAATGGGATTAAGATCTTCAATGATTAACACGTGCAGTTCTAAATTCCTTCTGTGGAACACCAAAGTACTGGTGCATGAAAGAATACTGCCCTGGCAGCAACATCACCAGATAATACAATGCACTTTTTCTGTCTCTAATACCTGTAACTTAGAATCATAGAATCGTTTAGGTTGGAAAAGACCTTTAAGATCATCCAGTCCAACCATTAACCTACACTACCAAGTCCACACTAAACCAATCAAGGGCAGGTTAATATTTACTTCAATAAAGTTTCAGAAGTGCGTATGTCACACCGCAAAGAATTTAACCAAGCAAAAGAGATGGAAAAAACCTTCACACTTCATTCACAAGAGAATTGTCTTAGAATTCTTAGTTTCAAAACAGGTATAGAGGAATGAGGGAGATTTCCTTCATTACAATATTGTCCTCCCAAGTTCCTTGCTCAAGACACGCCAACATAGCTCCTGCAAATATCAAGTGGTAACACCATTTTCCTCACACAAACTATGAGCCAGCCTTCTGGTATCGTGGCACATAACATCTCTTTGTATACTTTTGCACAGAAATTTTAATCTTTCTCTTCTCCATCCACTAAACAATACCATTTAACACACGCCATCTTGTCCAGTGTCAACTTTCAGCTGCTTACCTTTACAACACTCCCACAGAAGATTATGTGGGCACAGAGGGGATTCTGGGGATCATATCTGTGCTTCTTGCAGTAAGGAGTCTGTGCCAAAGACACAGTTAAGGAGGCATTTGAATTGATCTGAAACACAAGTAGTAAGACAAGAGGTTTACATGCTTTTGCAAGAAAAATGCCATACCCACCACATTTTCAGCTTTTGGTACTTTATTCAGCTCAGTATTACTGGTAAAAAGAACAAAGCTGTCATCACCTTTTCTCAACTGTATCTGAAAGCCTACTTAGATGAGCTCTGAATCTGAAAGAAAGGCCAGTTTAGAAGTGCGCTGAAGTTTGTTAGCGTAAAACGCAAACCTCACAAAACAGCACTCTTTCAAATTCTGAATTCAATATACAGTCTAGCTATTTCACATTCAAGTGATGATATATTCCAATTTATATACACACAAGACAGTACAGAAGACAAGGACATACAGTGAACTTCATTAAGTCAATTCTGGTGGAAGGACAAAGGGTAACCAACTGAGTTTCACAACTGTTGATGAGATTAGTTAAAACCAAACACTACCACCACCCTGCATCAAAACAAGCCTCCTGGCTGCCCCCAAACTGGTCAGCTCTTTGGAAGTTTAAAGTGTATTTCAAAAGTTAGGCTTAAAAAATCTTAAGAATTTAAGTAAGACACCTAACTCAAAGAATTAAAAGAATCTGTACCCGATTGTTTTTCTAAAACTAATTTGGTGAACACAGCTTGAAAAGTATTGGTGCAAAACCAGGATTGCCTACTGCAGAATGTCACATGCTAAAATTCATTGTCTCCCAGCAAAGAAAGTTCACGTGCTTTAGGAAATTTCATTAAAAGAGCTCATCTCAAAAAGAAACTCCCAAAAGTCACTTAAAGCACTATGCAGTGCAATGCCACTGAACTGGTGAAACAGGAGCCACCACCTGACTCACAGCACTGGTAGGAAGTTGATTAACTCCAGAAAAAGCCTACTCATGATTATTCAACACTACCTCCTACCAGACCTCTGCCTTACACGTGACTGTCACAGTCAAATGTTTCTGCCCTGTAACAGCAGAATAAGGATCTGTTGGGGAGCTTTCTGAAGGAAAACATTCACTAACAGTTCATACCATGATTTTTATGTTATTCTCAAAACAAAAGGGCATAGGTGAGCTGGAGAATGAGATACTACACAAGCTAAATTAGGCTTTCTACAGCACTTAGATACATAATTAAGCTGTTTTACTGTAGCAAACTGAAACCCGACAGGGAAAAAACAAGAAAGGTTTACAGTAAAAGAATCTGAAAAAATTGTATTACTTGTTTTGTGTTTGTTTTACTAATACTGTCCTAGTTACTAGGAAAAAAAATGGTTCCTTTTTATTAAAGGATATATACGATCACTATTTCCTAACTTTTTAGCCAACTCTCTCTTCACCACAGCCACGCAAAAAGGCTGCGACAAGGCCAAGTACACACACTCAGAGCCTCAGCATGCCAGTCTGCTGCCTTCCTTCGTCCACCTGCCTTTACGGTAAGCTCCAGAGATTTAACTACTATTCCTTCAGTAGGCTGCGTAGGAGCCCTCTTTGCTCAAGGCCCACACCACCCGTTTCCAGTCCTTTTGATACTTTTTGTGACGTTTGCCCTGTTTAAATATTCTGTGGCCCCTCATTTCTCTACTCAGGGGCTTCTGGAAGCTTCAGCCACTTCCTCTACCAGAGTGCTACTTCGTAATTTTTCAGACCATGATCAGCAGCAACTTCTCAGGGGGACTGCCGAGCATCCACACAGACAGCACCGCTGTTGAGATGTTCCAGGGCTACGAATTGTCCCCAGGGCTCACAAAGGAGGTGACATCCATGGCACTGGCAGCGAGCACCATTACGCTGCCTTCAGAAAATGCTG